CCCCAAAACCTAAAATGCAATTTTAAAAGAACCTACTGCTACCATTTTAGGTTGGAATATAGTAATAAAGGGGTCCATTCATCAAGAGGATACAATTATAAATATATATGCACTCAACATTGGAGCTCCTAAATATATAAAGTAAATAGTAATAGATCTGAAGGAAGAAATAGGCAATAATGCAGTAATACTAGGGGACTTCAATAACCACTCTCAGCAATGGATATAACAACCAGACCCCCCAAAAAAAAATCAATAAGGAGACATAAGACTTGAACTACACTTTGGACAAATGAACATAACAGACGTATCCACAGGGTTCTATCCAATGGCAGCAGAATACGTATTCTTCTTCTTCTTTTTTTTTTTTTTTTGAGACAGGATCTTTCTCTGTCACTCAGGATAGAGTACAGTGTATGATCATGGCTCACTAAAACCTCCACCTCCTGGTCTCAATTGATCCTCCTTCCTCAGCCTTCCTAATAAGTTGGCTAACTTTTTAATTTTTCTTTTGTAGAGATGAGATCTTGCTCTGTTGACCAGGCTGGTTTCGAACTCCTGGCCTTAAGCAGTCCTCCTGCCTTGACCTCTGAAAGTGTTGGGATTACAGATGTGAGTCACTGCACCTGGCTGACATTCTTCTTCAGCACACGCGTAACATTCTCTAAGATAGACCATATGTTAGGCCACAAAACAAGTTTTCACGTGTTTGAAGATTGAAAAGACTATATGTTAGGCCACAAAACACGTTTCTACTTGTAAGAAGACTGAAACCATATCAAGAATCTTTTGTGATCATAATGGTATGAAACTAGAAATTAATAACAAGAAGAAATTTGGAAAATTCACCAAAGCATGAAAATTAAACAGAATTCTCTGAACAACCAAGTAGTCAAAAAAGAAATGAAAGAGAAAGCAAAAAGTATATTGAGACAAATGAAAATAAAAATACAATATACCAAAATGTATGGGATGCAGTAAAAGCAATTCTTAGAGGGAAGTTAATAACAATCATGCCTACATAAAAAAGAAGAATTTCAAATAAATAACCTTACATTATACATTAAAGGACTAGAAAAAGAAGAAGCTATGCCCACAGTTAATAGAAGGAAGGAAATAATAAAGATCAGGGCAGAAATAAGATAGACGCTAGAAAAACAATAGAAAGAATCAATGAAACTGAAAACTATAGTATTATGTAGCAATAGGAGTTTAAAAATTAAAATTAAAAAATTAACAAAACTAACGGTGTTTTGAAAAGATAAACAAAATGGTCAACCATTTAGATAGACTACAAAAAAAGAGAGACAAATAAAATCAGAAATGAAAGAGAAGACATTACAACTGATATCACAGAAATATGAAAGATTATGAGATACTATGAACAATTATAACCAACAAATGGGATCGCCTAGAAGAAATGAATAAATTCCTACACAAATACATCCTACCAAGATTGAATTATGAAGAAATAGAAAATCTGAACAGACAAATAATGAGTATGGAGACTGAATCAGTAATAAATGGTCTCCCATCAAAGAAAACCCCAAGACCTCATGGCTTCACTGCTGAATTCTACCATTATAATAACTAATACCAATCCTTCTCAACTCTTCTGAAAAACTGAAAAGGGAATCCTTCCCAATACATTTCATGAGACCAGTATTATCCTGAAATCCAAACCAGACAAAGACACTATGAGAAAAGAAAATTACAGGCTAATATCCCTGATGAAAATAGATCCAAAATTCTCCACAAAGTATCAGCAAACTGAATTCAGCATCACATTAAAAGAATCATTTATGTAAGTAGGGAAAATCTCTAATAATGGAATTACCAGGTCAAAGAGTACTCCCCCCAAACCCCAAATTTTAATACATATTTGAGATTGTCTTCTAAAAAAGTTTGTATAAATTGTCCAATTCTGACAACAAATAAATGTGCACATTTCCCTTGCAACATTGGGTGTTAAACATTCTTTCTTGATGTTGTTTGCCCAGGGCAGCCTTGGTTCTCACCTGTTCTCCTAGTGTAATTCTTAATAGTGGTCCTTTCACTCTTAAAATGGGACCAGTTTGTATGATATATGGTTACTCTACTGAACTTTAAATCTGATACATATTGTCTCTTCCCTAGAGATTCTCCAGGAGGCTCTGTAGGCTTCTGGAAGGACTTAGATTCTCCTCCTTCTCCCTCCCTATTAACATGCACTGACTCCTTCAGAAGCCATAGAATTATGGAATGTACCTCTAGCTACGGACCTCCATTCTGTGCAGGTGGATGTAGGAGGTGGCAAAGAAAGTATGCCTGAATGTTTAACCTTGCTGAAAGACAAATGTGCACACAAACACACATACACACACAAAGCCAAATTTGTAACTATGCTGTAATCCAAAGGATAGTCCCTAGCTGTCCATCATTTGACATGCCATAGATGTTGATAAGAGGATCTTAGCACAGGAAGTGGTGTTAGGTAGGATGACCTTTAAGTGCCTTCAGTGTTGAGCTTCTGTAATTACAGTAGTAACAATGAACTTATTGAGGACTTACTGAGTGCCGGGGGTAATTCTAAAAATTTTAGCTATAAAATCTCATTTTGTCCTCAGAGTCACTAAAACAATAATTTAGTCACTGTTTTTAGATAAGAATAACAAATTAGGAACTAAGGCAAAAACAGATTAAGTTAGTTGTCTAATGTGGCACACTTAGTAAATGGAAAGCCCAGATTTCAATAAAGGCCGCCTGAACTGTTATGTCTCTACTTTCTGCTGCCTTCCCTTTTCATGTCAAGGGTTGAGGGGATGGTGGTTGTGGGGGGTCTCTGTCATCCAGGCTGAAATGCAGTGGCACAATCATAACTCACTACAACCTCCAACTCTTGGGCTCAAGCAATCCTCCCACCTCAGCCTCCTGAATAGCTGGGACTACAGGCACATGCACCATGCCCAGCTAATATTTTCTTATTGTTTGTAGTGATGGGGTCTTGCTATGTTGCCTAGGCTGGTCTTAACTGAGTTTAAGTGAGCTCACCTTGGCCTACCAAGTAGTTAGGACTGCAGGTGTAAGGCACCACACAGGCTAACTTTTTAATTTTTTGGTAGGCATGGAATCTCACTATATCATCCAGGCTAGTCTTGGACTCCTAGCCTCAAGTGATCCTCCATCCTTGGTCTCCCAAAGTGCTAAGATTACAGACATCATCCACTGTGCCTGGCCTTCTGCTGCCTTCTATTACATGTTTCAGGCATTGAAAATCTACTTACACTTTACAGATTTGATTTCCATTTTCTTTCCTAATAATACTAATCATATTCCTGAAAAGTTGCTTAATAGAAGAGAGAAAATGGCATGCATTAAATTCATGCAATATAATTTTAAACTTTACCATTGAAGAAACTTTCTTCTGCTCTTTCTTGAAGATCTATCTTTTCAGTTATCTATTCATCATATACTATGAGAAGAAAAAATAAATTTATCTTTTCACTTTCCAGAAAAAGTCAATAAAAATTTATATAATTTTTAAAGTGTTAAACATAAAGCATTCATAAATAACAAAAAGATTTTTATGCTGAAATTTTAGTATTGTTCCTATTTTAATATTTAGGGCTCAAGTGACTTAAGATACTATCAGCTTGTAATTGACAAAAAGGAAAATATCAGATATTTGATGGTAACCTTAAGATTAGTTGTCTCCAGTGAGAGAAAACCTATGGATGCTTAATGAATGCTTAATGAATCCCTAATCCCAGCAAACCATGTTCTGAATTCATTGTCTAGGAAAGAAGTGTGGACCAAGAAGGGCACTATTACCACCACTCCTGAAAAATTTTCTCAATTTTCTTCTTCTCAATTTCTCTTTACAGGTGATAAGTATCACAGTGTACATAACATTTTATAGGCTCCATATTTTCCTATTCCACAATCAGAAGCCTGCTTATCCTATGTCTTGCATATATACTCTGAAAACTATATGCAAATAGCTTACCAATAATCTCCCAATGTGTAAGTCCAGAAGACACACATGAATCTCTCTCCCTCCATTTTCAGACCCCTTTCTCTTGATGTCTATGACACCACTGTCTCCCACTTTTTAAAAATCTTCTTCTCAACTTATTCTGCAGAACCCTGTTTCATTTACTCCAACCTTTAATATAGGCATTCCCATTGGGCTCTCTCATGGGTAAAAAATCATCCTGCCTTGTGAATTTGATTACACTTTATTCCCTACAATGAATCTGACAATTCTCAGTCTGTGAAAAGATAACTGTGCCTACTTAAACTAAATAAATACCTAACCATGTGCTCTTTTCAGTGTTTTTCCTGGGTCAATGTACTGTGGAATTTAAAATGGACAGAGAAAAATTGAAATGCAGCATTATTCTCTGCAGCCCCTGGTTTGATTTCTACCCTAGGAAGAAGCAGCATTTGCCCTATAGTTTGACTCCCCTCCTAAAATAGCCTCTTGAAACATTTCATGATCCCATTATCACCCAAACAATTTCTATATAACAAGGTGTAAGAGTTGACAATACGGCGTGTATGTGCTTATCATTTCATCCTTACCCTAAAAGGTTTACTGGGCGTCTCATCCAGATTTTGCAACCTCCAAGTATGGGTCCCAGGCTTTTCTACATTCCCTGTCATGATGTCTCTGCGGCTCAGAGCTCTAAAATAATCTGGAGCCCCCCACCCCACAAAGTTATTATTATTTTTTTTTTGAGACAGAGTTTCACTCTTGTTACCCAGGGTGAAGTGCAATGGCGCTATCTCGGCTCACCGCAACCTCTGCCTCCTGGGTTCAGGCAATTCTCCTGCCTCAGCCTCCTGAGTAGCTGGGATTACAGGCACGCGCCACCATGCCCAGCTAATTCTTTGTATTTTTTAGTAAAGACGGGGTTTCACCATGTTGACCAGGAGGGTCTCGATCTCTTGACCTCATGATCCACCCGCCTCGGCCTCCCAAAGTGCTGGGATTACAGGCTTGAGCCACCGCGCCCGGCCCACAAAGTTATTTTTGACAGTAATTATAAAGGACTATGCAGTACCCTTTCCTCAGTCATATTATTATGATGTAAAACTTTTTGTAGTCCAATTAAGTGAAAAGGGGGATCAAGATTTTGACTTCAGTGGGCTTTCAGGATCCAGACCTGGGTAGAGGATTGGGAGTGCTCGCTCAGGAATTGTGGGTGTTCAGCCAAAAGAAGCCAAGATTTGAGTCCTGGATAAGGGGAAGCCTTGTAATTAACGGAAAGTTTAGAATCAAGTTGAGAAGAGCAGACAGTAGGTTAGCCAAGGAACTAGGTAAAATGAAATGAATTAATCTGGGAAAGCCTGCAAGAATTCCTGAAGACAAAGGTCATCTTTTGTCTGGTTGCTTTTGTAGAGTGGGAGTTGGGGTAGCTGGGGAAGCTATTAATATCCCCAAATGGGCTGAAAAATTTTAGCCCTTCTCTATCAGTATTGTGATTTTACCAATCCGAGTCTAGCTATTGAGGTTACCAAAATGTATCATGGAAATGGGAACAATGAAATCTAGGTTGTTATGAGTCCTACCATACTTTTATTTTTGCTGTTGTTGTTTTCAGAAACAGGGTCTCCTTCTGTAGCCCAGGCTGGAATGTGATGGTGCAATATGCATGCAATGCAAGGTGCTCACCGTAACCTCAAATTCCTGGCCTCAAGCAAATCCTCCCACCTTGGCCTTTCAAAGTATTGAGATAACAGGTGTGAGTCACTGTGCCTGGACCCTACTTATACTTTAATTTTGATGTTTGGAACAAGGGAACAAACTGTTACTGAAGGAGTCTGGGACATTCCATCAAATAAATGAAAACACTTGCCAGTAGCATTCCAGTTGTGAACAGGACCTGCTTCTCGTCTTGCATAAAAATATGCACGATTTCTGTTCAAAATGATAGTGAATTTAGAATTAGGCTTATTTTCAGAATAGCAAAAGTGATAGGAACTATTGTTTTTTCATTAGATTACATTTATGCAATTTAAAAATTTTTAATATTATTTATTTTTGAGATAGAATCTCTCTTATCACCCAGGCTGGAATGCAATGGCATGATCTCAGCTCACTGCAACCTCTTATCCTATTTTTGGGTCCTGTCTATCTTATCTACAGTTCCTTGTTATAAAAAGTGTATAATCTGAACCTCCTGGATTCAAGCAATTCTTGTGCCTCAGCCACCTGAGTAGCTGGGATTATAGGCACTTACCACCATATCCAGCTAATTTTTGTATTTTTAATACAGATGGGGTTTCACCATATTGGCCAGGCTGGTCTTGAACTCCTGGCCTCAAGTGATCCACCCACTTCAGCCTCCTAAAGTACTGGGATTATAGGCATGAACCTCAGCACACAGCCTTATGTAATGTTTTACCATTGCTTTATTAAATTCTTATTTTATCCCTCCACCAGGAGAATTAAAATATTTAATTAAGAAAAACAATTAAAATAAATGGAATATAATTGATAATATCAATAAGCTAGCAATAGAATTAACAAATGCTTGTATACTTGTTTGTGTCCTCTTAGTAAGTTATAAGCTCCATGAAGGCAAGGATTTGATATTTCTCTTTTTGATTTTTGGTTTTTTTTTTTTTTAGACAGAGTCTCACTCTGTCACTCAGCCTAGAGTGAAGTGATGTGATCTTGGCTCACTGCAACCTCTGCCTCCCAGATTCAAGCGATTCTCCTGCCTCAGCCTCCTGAGTAGCTGGGACCAGAGGTGTAGCTACCATGCCTGGTTAAGTTTTGTATTTTTAGTAGAGATGGGGTTTCACCATGTTGGCCAGGCTAGTCTTGAACTCCTAACCTCAGGGGATCCGCCCGCCTCAGTCTCTCAAAGTGCTGAGATTATAGGTATGAGCCACCACGCCCAGCCTAATCTTTCTTGCTTATTGTTATATCCCTATGACAATGACACTGCTTAGTGGTTAATAAATACTCAAAAAATATTTACTAAAAGAATAGAAAAGAATCAAGGAGGCATTGAGTACATGGACAATGAAAACTTGTATTCTCTAACATTTAGAACTTTTTAATGTGCTTTGATTTGTATAATCATAATTGTGGAATAATATTAGATCAAATGTGCCTATAACTATTTTGATATTTCATTGGTCATTCTAGGATATTTTTAAAAAGGAAAAAGTCATGTTTCTAAAACCTAACCAGGATCTTTGGTTTATGAAATGCAGTAAGTCCTTAAGATAAATTCCTCTATAGAATGCAGCGCTCATTGAATTAGCAAGGTCTATAAGATTTCTAGAAGAAATTCAGAAAGAAGAGCTGGTAGATATACAACAGAATTAAATTAGAACTGAGTACAGTTGTTGGACCATATTTGCAGAGAGCCTTCAGGGTTTTTCATTAAAAATGCAGATAAAGGAAGCTTCACTGATAGATATTTGCTCAGGCCCCTACACTTATGGGCAGAATTTGCCACTTTATTCATAAGCACTATATAAAAAAGTAATGACAAGGAGCCAGGATCCTAAGAAGAAAATACAAAAAAGAAAAAAAATTACAAAACAGCCTCTTTCCACATATGTAATGTGCCCTATTGGTTCTTCTTTCTGATTTGTATGTGTGTATGTGTATATGTGCACACTTGTTTTAGAGGGAAAAAATAAGGAATACCTTCCATTCTATCCTAACTTGTCTTTGTATGCTAATAAGGAAAAGACCATCTCTAAGCCAGAAAAACAGAGTTCTTGACCAAGTTGAGGTCTTAAATAAGCAAGCAAAATATTGCCTAACCCTTATCTTTTGTTTTGTTTTTCTGCAAGCACTGTGGTGACTTACCTTAACTTTTTATAAGCACATTTTACTTACCAGTGGACCTATAAATGTGAATTTATCTTATTTTGGGGTCCTGTCTATCTTATTTACAGTTATTTGCTACAAAAAGTGTATAATCTGAAGAAAGAAAATAATACCATACTGGGATGAAGGAGAAAAAACAAATTTGTTGATATGTATGGACCATGCAAATACTTTCCAAATCTGTGAAATCCCTTTGAAAAATTTACTTGAGGTACTCCAGCAAAAGGAAAAAATGAACCTAAAAAGAGGAAAATATGAGACCCCCAAAATTCTCCTAATTCAGCAGAGCAGTAAAAAGAAACTAATTTTTACATGTTAGAACAGGAAGTCAGAAGACTTTAAGAAGAATGTCTATAAGAAGAAAATGAACATATTTTAGCAAATATAAAAATGAGTGATCACAGTGGTGGGACTCAAGATACATGTGTTTTTGTTAATGAGAAATAATGAAGATAATTTAAAATTCTAGAAAATGCGAAAGCTGTATAGGAAACTCACAATTAAGTAACATGAAGTAAGCTGAAATATAGCATGACTTTGTGAAATAAAGAGTAAGAAAAGAGAATCTATTTGATCTTGACACTTGATAATTCTTTTTCAAGCAATATAGGTTAGCAGCATAGAATTATATTTCCTACTTCCACTTTGGTTCTTTAGTGAACAATATTTTTATAATCATATATAAATGTGTGTTATTTTTAGTAGCTAACAAATTTTAGACTCAAATTATAGAGTAAGCATTTCAAGATATAATTATAGCCACAAAACAGAATGTAAATATTTGACAAGGTCAAATTAATGAGAAAGCTTATAGAGTTTAGGAGATAGAGGAAGGAAGTATTGGGATCCAAATTTTCTTATCTTTTATGGGAGAAGGATTGGGATATAGAAACAAAGAATTAAATGGATTACTCAAAGTCAAAATGATAGTCAGCAGGAGAAATATTAGTAATCTTGATATCTAATAACTAAAAATAATGAGAAAAAATAGTAACAACCCTAAAATGATACAATAATAATATCTACTAACAGCAAAATAACAAAAAATGTGTATAGTGCAAGATAAATTTTTCTGCTTTAATAATGGGGAGTCAATAGATAACATCTAAAGTTAATAAATCATGAAAAGAAAACATACCCATCAAAATCAAATATATAGAGGTAACTACAGAAGAACTAAAAATAGAACCATACTAAAAGGATTGCTTCTGTGAAGAAAGTATTAGAGGTGGGGTGAGGGATGAGAAAGTTAAACTTTTTTTTTCATTTTACAATTTTCTGTACTTTTTGGATATTTTTTCCTTACCATGTAGATATATTTTTATTACATAAAAAGGTAAAACATTTCCTGATGACTAGCTTAGCATTCTCTTCAATGATATCCCAAAGTTCATTCTTACTAAGGATAAAATGAACATACTCCTGTATGTAAAATTGATAGGCGCAGCAGAACCAAAATAATGCTGTAATTAATATTGCAATGAGTAGAAGCATCACGATTCCAAACATGTCAACTGAAATGTATAAAAAGAAATACATTTTAAGTTAACAGAACATCAGTAATTCCTGCTATTTTCATCTTTTCTAATATGCAATGTGATTCTTTAACAAATGATTATTGAAAGTAACGATAAAATAACATACATTACATATTCCAGTAAAACTACCATTAACACAACAATCACATTTGAAAATAATCTGGGTTGCTAGAGGAGGCAACATTTGATTTATTTATTTTTAAATTGGTAAACTACCAGGCTACTGGCTTATTTTTTCCGTTATTTTACCTCTAAACTCATTTCTGGTACTATCTTAATAGATAAAAGAACAAATGCCTCAGGCTGTTATAGCTCTAAAGATACATACAGATAGCAGGGTATGGTTTATTGTTTGCATTTCAGCAGTCCATTACCAAAGAGACAACCAATGCTTGCTGCGAATGCATATTTCTACCCCTTGTGAAGTTTTTTTCCCCTGTCTCAGTAAGCACTATGTAGTTTATTAGCTTGGTATGTTGTAAAATGAAACTAGAAGGGCAAACATAAAATTGGAGACTAGAGTTTCTGTTCATACTAGTTACACAAAGTGTAAATTTATAAGGCAAAAACACATATGATTTAAATATAACTGATAGTACCTGAAAGAAACAGGGATTTGAGGGCAAAATTTGTATCTTTTTACCTCAATTAAGGAAAAAGGAAGACAATTGGTTGTTCTAGATTGGGTTTTTCATATAGCTAGGATTTACCTAGAAAGTTTTTTGTTTCAACTCTTTAAGAAAACTTTTTAAATGGTAGTGGTATGTTTTTCTGCCTTGGTCAGTACTGTATAACATACTAAAAGTCCACCATTTGAGTATAACTTAAAGATTCTTTGATGCTTAATATTTGTCCAGTCCTAGTGAATCATTATTCTGAATAGCAATTCTCAGTGTAGAATACGTTAGCTGAGAAAATATAAATTATAGCAATGTATCTAGACACAATATATCCTCAGACAAGTACTAGCTTATTTAAAAATTCTGGAATTCCTAAAGTGGCATAAGAATACAAACATCCTTTAAGTGAGTTACGGATATCATACACCAGAGATTTTTAGAAATGGAAATTTAAAATAGTTAGCAACTGGTATGGCAAAGGATCTACCAATCAGAATGAACATTGACTTAATTTGAATGAATATTTGCTGCAAACAACCAATAAGCTTATATTAGGAGGTGAGACTAATGAGCATCCCTGGACTTGCTATGTTTTTATTTTTATTTTACTTAAAGTTCTGGGATACATATGCAGAACGTGCAGGTTTGTTACATAGGTATACATGTGCCATGGTGGTTTGGACTTGCTATATTTTAATATGTAAAGCAAATGTAATACTTTACAATCCTTCAAATGTTGCAAATTGCTAACATTTGCAAGTTGACTGAAATAAAGAACATAAAAATTTAAATAACGACAACTCACCTTTACAGTTTAACCAATATACAGAACTGAATCGACACCCAAAATATGGAAAACAATATTTTTTGCATGCCTTTTCTTCACTACACCAAATACACTATATTTGGAAAGAGAAAAATAAAAGTGTTGTCCAAGTATAATAACCACAATCCCAGGAAGGTTTCAGTAATAATTCAATAAGTATTCAATATATAGTAGCCATTATTCAATATATAATAGCCATTATCCTTATAATAATAATAATTATTATTATTATTTGTGCTAGATGCCATTGGTGACTTGAGATCTCCCTTGTCAAGCCCATGTAGCCAAACCTTGGCTGCAAAGAGTTTTGGCTGCCAATGGCTCACAGCTTCCCCTCTTCTTGAATGAAGAATGGGGACCACCTAGCCCATGAGGTTACTATTTCCCCAGGCCAGCGAATGACTGATATGGGGTTCCAAACAGTGGGCATTGTTACCTCAAGGCAGGGACAACTCTGCGAGGCAGGGACAACTCTGCGAGGCAGGGACAACTCTCTGAGGCAGGGAGAACTCTGCTGTGTAATTTTTTTTTGTTTTTGTTTTTTGTTTTTGCCCAAGGGCTGCCCATGATTAAGGCCAAGAGCGGACTTAAGCCAAGAGCTCATCTTTTCTTGGCTCTTTCCCCTTATCTTCCCTGAGTCTCTCACTCCATAGGATTTTGCTGAAGAGTAGTCACCCAAAAATCACATGTACCTGAATCCCTTTCTCAAACTCTACAATTAGGAAACAAAACCAAAGATATTATTTCACAAAGTTGTAATAAGGACTGCGGTAAATAGTTTTAAAATCTCTCCATCAGGCGGAGGTTGCAGTGAGCCGAGATTGAGCCACTGCACTCCAGCCTGGCGCCTGGCGACAGAGCGAGATTCTGTCTCAAAATAAAATAAAATAAAATAAAATAAAATCTTTCCATTACTCTTTCCATTCCTCTTGCCTGCATTCCCCACTCTTTCCTCTGGGATTGCTCCTCTGTTACACGTGGCCCAGCCAGTGCTGTCAACAAGCCTTACCTCACCCCTCTTCCCACATGGCTCACTGGTGCTCAGATAATCATGTGGAAATAGAAAAATGGAATTCTAAGTCCCGTAAGCAAGGCCTAAAGGTGAAAAACATTATGGGAGAAAAGACTAGAAGAGCCTGGAAGAGTTAAAAAAAAAAAAAAAATGAGGACAGAGTGGTAAAAATGGCTATCACTTACATAGGGCCTACTATGTGACTGGTACTATTCTAAGTCCTTTATATATATCCACTCATTTCATACTCATGACAATCCCATGAGCTAGGTACTATTATGTCCGCTTCATAGAAGCAAACAAGAAGGCACAGAGAAGTTAAATGACTTACATAAGATCAGATACCTAGTAAATAGGGGAGCCTAGGTTCTAATCTAAGTAGCCTGGTTCTGTGCTGATAACCAATCCTATAAGATTGAACCCAGACCCCACCTGATCACTTCTTGCTGTATATCCTGGGACCAGCTGAGGTAATGATTCACCCCAATGTAAAGAACCACCCCTTAGACACTGCCTGAGTACCAAGGCTATATCACAGGCCAGCTTTTGTTTCACATTGGCCAAGACTGAAGGTCAACCCATTTAGGCAAATCTAAGATTGAAGCCACTTTCACCGAATGAGTCTTGTCTTCCCAGACGGTTGCTGAAGGACTGGAACTGCAAAGACAAAGTCTAGATTCAAAGATTACAGCCCACAGAGACTTTTGGCCTTGGTTATTAGTACTCAGAGTCTCTGGGAATCAAGTCCAAGATCTAGCAGGGCTTTAAGGGAAATGAATTGCCAGAAAAATATCTGAACCTGCAGCTAAGAGATATATGCACCTAAGTGCTAAGCTGATTCCCAGGCCCCAGTAACCAAGTCTACCACAGGTAAACTCCTAAAGAAGTGCAGGCCCCAGAAGAGACGATCTCTTCTACGCCTCTCTGGTGGGGACTCAGAAAACTATGGAAAAGAAACTCCTTCGGTAGCAGCTAGACTGGCGACCAACAACTCACTGCCCAGCCAGGAAACTCAACAATGTAGTACAGACTCAGAACATACTATAGGATTATTGGCCACTATCTTTCTTTCTAAATGGGAGCCTTTACTGCTGTAATCCTGCTTTATCTCTTCTATTGAACAGTGGGTCTTTGGGAGTTGGTTTAACAGATTATATAGCGGATTTAAAGGAGTGCCTGGAGCCATTTTCAAACACAATCAAGAGTAATGCATATCTCTCTGAGATTTCAGACTTAGAGCTGGGGGCAGTGACTGATAGTGACTTTGAATAAGTCCAGTTGCAGTTGAGATTTAGTTGCATTGTTTTGCCAGGAGCATTTTAAAAAATACTGGGATGGGAAAAATAGAATATGCCTGTCCTCAAAGGTCAAGGGTGAAAAATGGTAGACTGAAGTCGTTTATTTTTAAAATCTGTCTGCTATTTGTGTCCCCATTCTTCTTTTTCTGGTAATCACGCCTTCATCTATTGAGGACCTCTTCCCCAAACCTTGTGTGGTCCTGTGGCTGCCAATAAATTTTGCTTTACCCCGTTCCTACTACTGGAATGGTCTTTTGACCAAGGCAGTAGTCCAGTAACCAATGCTGGACCAGACAAAAAACCCCAATAGGGCCAATCAGAATCTTCTTTGCAGTGGTATACAGACATTGGGTTAGATCTGGCAGCCAGCCTCTTGCCCAGCTGTATGGAGAATGTCTTTTTACCACAAGAGAAAATAAAATCAATTCCCAGAGGGAGGCAGAGCTGAGAGATGAAAGGAAAGAGGAAAATGCGAAGGACATCTTTTGGTTCAGTTGTGCAAGAAAGCAAGGCCACACCTGGTCTTTCTAATATTGTGAATCAATGAATTCCCCTTTTTATTAAATTGGTTTGAGTTTGGTTTCTGTCCCTTACCACAAAAATATGTGACTAATACCTTAACTAAACCTAAAAAGTTATCCAAGACCAGAACTTCACATTGCCCCCAAGAACAGTATACTATATTCAAAATTCCTAAATTGGTAATGTATAATTTAAGGCAAATTACATGATTTTTTTTCTTGTAGTTAAGGAAAATAACCCATATAAATATGAAGCCATCAGCCTCTTCGGAGTGTGACAACTGAGAAGCCACCTAAAAGGCTTTAGGGTGATGGTTAGTATTATTTCATGGGAAAATTATAGTACTCATTTTAGGGTAGAACTGTTTTATTAAGTTTATATGGACATTACAATTGCTATTTTGATAAAAAGATCATTAAAATTAAAACATGCAGAAAGTGGGAGGGTACATAATAATGTTTAGTGGTTAAGGTTGTATAAATCAAATGGCTTAATATTATATCAGCGGTTGGGGGATGGGATGTGTAGAAAATCTAGGATTGTTCCAGGTGAAAGAAAAGAATGGAGAGCCGATGGAGGAAAAAAGAAACAAAAAGCCAATGATTTCTAAAATTATGAGAGAATGGTACCAGAAATAAACAAGTAAAGAACATGAGCTTCTTTGGGGAAGGCAAAATTATAAATTTAGTTAAAGAAATTTTGAGCATGATGTGAATTAAAAAAAAAAAAAAAAAAAAAACTATCCAGAAAGAAATGCCAATCAAGCAGCTGTAAGCATCACTATTGGGGGTCATTAGGTTTAAGGATGTGAATTTGGAATTTCTTTATATTCAGGTTGTGGTAGAGACCAGGACTGTGGAAGAGGTGGCACAAGGAAGTGTGAAGAAATTCCCTCATTTAGGAAAATAAAGAAGAGGAATTGGTAAAGGAAACAAAATGATGAGGGAAGAAACAAGTCCTGTATAAAGCCAAGATCACCAAGGAAGGAGCAAGTTTCCAAAAGGAATGAGTGGTTAATTTGAAAGGTTGTTGCATTTGGTTAGAATCTTTTGCAACCTCTAAATCAGGTTGCTAAGGATTAAATCACACTGTGTGACACAGAAGCAATGGTAAAATAAGCACAAAATAAGTACTTCAGCTTCTAGAAAGAAACAAAGAGAAGATTTGGATTTGTTTGTTTTTTCCATTTTGTCTGAACTCAGAAGGAAGCCAATGCACAGAAACAGGCTGGATTTGTCATAGAGGGAACAAGGTAATGAGAAAGGTTTTGAGTTTGTGAATGTGCATGCGTTTCCGAGTATGACACATACATAGAGGTGAGCACTAAGGGATTCACCTCAGAAATGAGAATAGACTTCTCAAGGGGAAGGTCAATGTTAGAGAAAAGATACTGAATTGGTTCAGATGAAAAATAAGGAAACCTGAACCTGCCAGATGGTCTTAAAATTCTCAAGGAAAGTCAGACCCTGAAAGGAGGATCACGCCAACAGCGGTAAAGTGCTGGGAATAGTTGTCATGGGAAATAATCCACGACATTGGTTGTCCGTATATTTTTTTCCAGCAGAAGGACTCCCAACAGGTGATATCCACATGTTCACTGGAATATCCAGATTTGGATCCATTAGCTTCCACTATCCCCAACTCCATACCCTAACACACACACACACACAAACACACACACACACAATTTTTCAGAAAAATAAATATCAAAGTGGGCATCTCTTTGTGGGTTGTAAGAAATGACATTTATAAATGCATTTTACAAGCATATGAGCAATCATAATTTCCTATGAACTGTACAATAGATAAGGTAGGCTGTGGCAGATTCAACAAATCCTACTGGGCTTGCTATAACTTGACTCCTTTTTGTCTCAACCAACCATCTATATCAGGTCACAATTAGTAAGAAAGATGTGATTATGGAGAAAACCTAGAATCTATTCCAATATTTTATGTGTTTAAGTCAGTTGCAAAAGCCAGTCTTACGATGCTCATTAGCAAAAAGCAAAAAATGTGCTTATGACAAGTCTCACCATTGTGACACCATAATTGAGAACTTTGGTTCCAAGGATTCAACGGGGATGCAAAATGACTTTGAATGGCAATGAAATCACAGATAACGAGATGCTCCACCTTTTTTAGTTAGCCTGGTTTTTAAAATTTTATTTCTAATAGAAAATATCAACAAAAATACAATATGTTTTTCATATACCATGTTTATGAGTTGTGTGCGTATGGGGAGTTGTAAATGTGATTTTTATGACTGAGTTTTTGGTAAGAATGCTTTCTAACTCTAGGAAGGTTAGTCCTATACTATGAAATCACAAGGAAATGTTTCAAATAGAATCTAAGGAAGATTCCCTTTCAGTTAAGAAGAATAAGCATATCATTTATCATCCAAATTGGAATATTTTGGGAAATGAAAAGGAGCTAGTATATATTTTCTCCGGATCAATGGAGAAATGGGCATAAAGTAGCACAATATACAAGACATCTGTTCATCCTCTTTTTAGTCTAAAAAGAGCTCAAATATTCTTGGTTGCTTCATGAGTTAACATCTTACAAACTCTGGCACTTTCTCTGGGATTATAAGAGGTGGCGGAAACTACCACTAAGAGCTTTGCAACCTTCCAACTTCTGGGAGAACAGGGGATCTTTTTCCAAAGGATAACACCCTAATTCTATGTTGACCATGTGGAATTATCTCTTAGTTCATTTCTATGAGGTATTGGAAATATTTTTTAAATTACACTCAAATACACATACTCCCAGGGTTTTCATAATGACTGATATTTAAAAACAAATTTAAATTCTCTACCTTGTTTCATTATAGAGTACAGTGAATTAATTTACCCTTCTTTGAATGCGTCAAGAGTTAATTCAATAGTTATTGAATGCTTGCCATGTGTGGGAAAGGTGTGAGGTGTTAGATATGCAAAGATGAATAAAACGTGGACTCTGTCCACAAGGAGCTGAGAACAAGGAAAAGGTGAACATAAAAACAATTCAAATAATATGAGTTACAATTCAAAAATGTACATGTTCAAGTCTGAAAGAGAGGTACGGGGAAGTGGAGGAGGTATTCTTCCTCTAAAAGGAAGAATAAGAGTAAGTAATGTTGGATGAAAATGACAGCAATGTTATCAGTTGGGGAATGACGTTTATATGTAAGGCGTCAATTTTTTCCATAAAATTGGAGATAATTACATCTGTTGATATTGATGGGATGAGGGAATTGCTGCTGTGGGAAATTTTAGGCAATGTTGCTAACCAAAAGCAAGGATGGGTAATATTTGGGCTCAGGTGAGATCAGAAGTTTTGACTTTGTAGTTGTACTAATGCAGATGTTGATGAAATATGCTCAAGCGCAATCAGCTAGTAATGCACAGCAAAGGAAAATATAAACCAAAGGACAAAACCAATCAGAGCTGTGGAACATGGATCCAGAGCAGTTAAAAAAAAAAAAAGAGGACGTAGGCCGGGCGCGGTGGCTCAAGCCTGTAATCCCAGCACTGTGGGAGGCCGAGGCGGGTGGATCACAAGGTCAAGAGATCGAGACCATCCTGGTCAACATGATGAAACCCTGTCTCTACTAAAAATACAAAAAATTAGCTGGGCATGGTGGCGCGTGCCTGTAATCCCAGCGACTCAGGATGCTGGGGCAGGAGAATTGCCTGAACCCAGGAGGCGGAGGTTGCGGTGAGCCGAGATCGCGCCATTGCACTCCAGCCTGGGTAACAAGAGCGAAACTCCGTCTCAAAAAAAAAAAAAAGGACGTATGCATTGCATGCCTGTATCAAAACATCTCACGTGCCCCATAAATATGTACACCTACTATGTATCCACAAAAAATAAAATTTTAAAAAAAGAGGACAAAGCCATTAAAGTAGACGTAGTTTTTACAACTCTCAGGGAAGTAATAGATCTAGGTAAGAAATACTGCTGGTTGCTAACATCACCAAATGCTAGACAATAAACCTTATCTGCCTCCAAGGGCCTCTCAGCATGAAGCATTCCTACCAAAAAATTAAACAGAATCTGATAAAGCCTTTATATCTAATTATCAGTTTATAAGTACACAAGAACAGGGAAAAAGGGGAACATGATAAAAAAGTGCATCATTGGGATGTGACCAGCAAAATCCAGACTATGAGAAAGCAGAGAGGACAATCTAGTTTCTCCAACAAATAAGTTTCAAAAAAGAAAAAAAAAAACAAGCCGGGCGCGGTGGCTCAAGCCTGTAATCCCAGCACTTTGGGAGGCTGAGGCGGGTGGATCACGAGGTCAAGAGATCGAGACCATCCTGGTCAACATGGTGAAACCCCGTCTCTACTAAAAATACAAAAAATTAGCTGGGCATGGTGGCACATGCCTGTAATCCCAGCTACTCAGGAGGCTGAGGCAGGAGAATTGCCTGAACCCAGGAGACGGAGGTTGCGGTGAGCCGAGATCGTGCCATTGCACTCCAGCCTGAGTAACAAGAGCGAAACTCCGTCTCAAAAAAAAAAAAAAAAAAAAAAAAAAAAAAAAAAAGAAAAAAAAAAACAAGAAGGAACATATAGATTCAAACATACTTATGATATATATCAGCCAACTGCAATGTATGAAGGTGATTCAAACAAACAAAAATGACTCAACAAGACAAATTTATTATTTTCTCGGTGTCTGATAATATTAAGAAGTTGTTAACTTTTAGGTATGATCATGAATGAACTTGTAATATTTTAAAGTAAAATGTTGATTAAAGACATATGCTTAAATATTTTAAATAAAATGATACAGTATCCATATCATCATTTGCTTCAAAATAATCCATTTCATGAGGAAGAGCATACATTAGAAAAAGGTTGGCCGAGATGGCTCTTGGGGGTATAAAGTTTTATCATATTGCTTTCTTCGATGGTATATTTGAAAACTTCCATTATAAAACATTTAACAACAACAAAAACTGGAAGAATATTGCATTCAGGCGAACATCCAAGAGAATTCATAGGAGGGAATACAGTCCATAGGAGATGGCCAATAAACTGAAGGGAAAAAAAGAGTGTTAAAGGACTGGAGGATGGTCTTGTCTTCTTGAAGCCAAAGAGTAGGTACGGTGTAAGGGAGTGAGAATACAAACGCCAGTGTAGATTGTGCAGGGTTCAGGGATGCCACAGAAGTGATGTCTTACTACACAGGGTTGAGGAAGGCAGGACACTGAGACAGAGTATGTCTGGGTCATCGCCGGCTGTGGAAAGCATGTAAGGCAATGGTAGTACGAATTGGGTGGAAAATTCCACGAGCCACAAGCCCAGGTCCTCATTAAAGTAGACGAGTGATAGACATTTATCTTCTTAGAGGGAGATAAGACAGGGCAGAGGGTGTATATCCAGAACACTATGAGTGATACCAACTGTAGAGTGTGCCCTTTTCTAAGTAGTGATTTCAAGCTACTGTTTTTAGTGTTGTCAATTATCCGATACAAGTTAGACTACAGTGATTTTTATGAGGGTTGCTGCAAGCCTGTCTGTGACACAAGGTGGTCATTTCTCTCATAACTTAAAGCATTTCTGCTTTCTTCCAAATCTGAAATGAAGAGCAATGATTTCAGACATTTAATCATCAAAGAAGAGGGCTTTAGCTACACTGTGGTTAAGGACTGGTATGTCATTCTTTCTAGTCTTTAGGAAATAGAAGTGGGAAGGAAATTGTCACCACATCTCAAAAGATACATCTTTTCCTTTACTTACAAAAAATTATCCCAAAATTTCAGTATAATTTTTTCAAGCAAAGAATTATTTTCTTTTTGAAGTATATTTTTCCAGAAGGAAGTACATGTTTGTACTCAGTTATCTCCATTGTTTATTTCTAGATCCTCAAAGAATGGTTTGAAATGCATAAATAGATCTTAATAACTGTTATGAGACATTCCTGTTATAAAAATTGTGTAAAACAAAGTTTAGCATATCTTTTAAATGACAGCTGTAAATTGTGACTTTATAACGTTCCCAGAGCAATTTCCTCATAAGAAAGTTAACTTACTTTCTTATCTTTTGTGCACAACTGACAACTCTTCTTTATAGCACATCCTACAAGAAAAAAATATTAAATACAAAAATAAATTCAAATACTTTTTATTGCTCAATTTTATGTAAAAGTGCATTTCATTTAGTCATTTCTGTTTTAAGCCATATTCATCCATACTCCAGCATTTTACTTCATTATTTTCGTGTATCTAGACATTTCTTCCACCTGTACTATATAAATCTTCTTAATCTTTTCTCCTATTTCTTGGAAAAATATGAAATGGCATCATACAACTTTTATGAGCCAAGTTCTAAAAAAACAACCCCAAAACACAGTAAGGAAACACAAATTGGCAACACCATTGTATTTTAAAATATCATGTGTTGTTATTCAGGATGGTATTGCCAAGATATTCCTACTTAACTAATTAACCCTTTAAGAATTTAAAAAAAAAAAAAAAAAAAAAAAGGAATTCCCCATCTGTTTTTGCCACAAAGCTTTCAAAACTTCTCCAAAATGAGAATTTTTATTCCTCTTGTTTTATGGAAAAACAAACAGTATGATTTATATTTGAAAATTCTAGAATAAAAACTCAGAATTTGGAAAAAAATTTCAATGGCTTATTTTATTACTACAGCATCTTCTTAAACAAAGGGTCTAGAATTAATGTCCTAGTTGTTTTGTGATAGAGCAACAATAAAGTCACTCTCTCTATTATTTTGGGGACAGAGTTCATAGGCTCTGTGGGAAAGGTCAGACCTTTCTATTTAATTTCAAATTGTTTGATTGGATGCAGATCTGATTGGGCTGGGGAAAAAATTTTACAGTTCAGCTTTCAAATTCAATCCTATTGAATGTTCCCTCCTCCTAGCTGAAAGTATCCTTGAAATATCCATGGGAAAGTTGAGTGAAAGAAAAGGCAAGGTGAATGGGAAAGATTCTGCTGCCTCAGCTGTGTGAAGAACAGCTGGCCTCAGGCTCCTTTTGGGAGGCAGAAGCAGGGAAACAGAGGACACATGACTTGGCCACTGTTCTCCGAGCCCTACGTGCTTCCCACAGCTTTTCTGTAAACTAAAGTTTTTATTTTGGAATAATTTCAGATGTACAGAAAAATTGTGAAGAGTCTACAGGGAGTTCCTGTATATCCTTCACCCAGTTCCCCTATTGCTAATACCTTACACTACCATGGTACATTTATTGAAAGTAAGAAACTAACACTGGCACATGACTTTTAACTACACTCCAGATTTTATCAGGATTTCGCCAGTCTTTACACTAATGTCCTTTTCCTGTTCCAAGATCCCATCCAGAATACCACATTGCCTGAAACAATGTCTCACTCTTGCCTTGTTTTTCATGACCTTGACAGTTTTGAGGACTACTATCCTCAGTACTTTCATATATTTTGTAGACTGCCCCTCAACAAGGATGTGTCTGATGCTTTTCTCAAGATTAGAGGGGGATGAGTTTTGGTGAAGAGCACTGTAGAGAGGAAGTTCCCTCCTCAACACATTATGTCAGTAAATGGCCTGCTCTGGTTCCATAGTAGAGGTTTAGATGGAGCATTTGTATACATAACCAGTCATCTCTTTAATACTCATTTTTGCCCTTATTGGAAAACTAATGATGTTACAGCTGACCTATGTGCTACATGAATCAGTAGGCTCTTTTTTTCTGTTCTATTCCTGAAGAAAGAGGTTCTAGCTATTTCCATGGCTTTATCAGGTACCAGATTATTTCACCCTAAAGCCCTGAGGTTTGATTATATGTTTTCTGTCTGGTTACTTATTTGCTCTTGATTACATTTTTCATGACTTCTGCATCATTTCTCCTAGTTCTCTTAGAACATCTCTGGCTATTCTTTTTCAGTTTCTTCAACTAGTTCCACTTCTACCAATGTCTGAAATGTTGCTATTCCATAAAGTTCCACCTATGATCCTCTTCTCCCATGAAGGATCACAATTTCAAATGCCTGGCATCAAAATATATTATGCCAAATATCAAAACAAAACTTTTTATTGGTACTATAATAAATTTATAATACAAAAATAAAGTTTATCTGCAAGGAAAACTTTTTCAAGAACCGCTAAGAGAAAAAAACAATGAGGAGTATATGAAAATAACAAGATTTTATATATTAAAATTCTTCTTATCTTTTATTTACCTAATACATCTATTTTAAAACTGTTGTTAGGTGAATAAAAGTTTGGAATATGCAGTATTATGAATCTTGGAAATTAAAAATATAATCAGCATAAACATAGCTAAAGAGTGAATTAGCAAGTTCAATAATTGAGCCATTACGAATGTAGTTCAAAAGAACAGGAGATAGAGAGTCTGTAGAGAGTCCGTACAGTCCTTGGTGTACTGTACTATATGTCAATATGGAATATCACTTTTTCTTTGACTTAATGATTTTTTTGACTTGAATTCTATTTTGCATAATATTGCTACACTTGCTTTCATTTTCAATAGCATTTGCAAGGCATATCCTATTCCATCAATTTATTCTTTATTCCTTTATTTCCTCTAGTGGTCTCAAAATACGCATTCTATTTCTATTCTTGAGCTGTTGCTTTAAAAATTTGGGGCGATATTTTATATGCATCTTTCTATCATTATTTAATCAGGATCTACAGTCTCAACTTAGACAAAGATCCTAATATGTTCTTACTCTTCTCTTTCTCCCCATACCACTTCCCAGTTAAATAATTTTAACTATTTAATAGCAGTTAAGCTTCCATATGTTTTCTATATCATATGGATTTCAGAAATCAGATAGAATTTTAACTGCTATTAAAGTTATTAATGATTATTAGACATTTAAATTGCTGTTGACCTACAATAAATCATTTAGAATTAATTTTTCATTTTACTAGTTTATTTGCTTACTACTCTTTCTTGAATCCCACTTTTTCCCCTTGGATTCATTTTTCATTTTGCTGGATTATATTCTTGAGTAT